AGGCCTGGAGGCTTCATGCTGGCGGTGCCCGCCAGCGGCATTCACGACGACGAGCTATCGGGCAGCCTGGCGGAGGAGGGCCACGTGCTGGGGCCCCATGTCAGGACGCGGGTCAGAGCTGCTGCCCTAGCCAATGGTGCAAACCCGCTGACTTCGATGTTACTCGACGTGCTTTTCGTGGATGTGATCAGCGAGGTGGAGCTGGAGCTTGTCCCCGAAGCGGTGTGCTTCGAGAACTCCGTCCACTCGGAGCGACCGCTGCGCCACTTCACGGCACGTGGGCGGCACTGGCCGCACGGTCGGTCGCTGCTGGACGAATCGTCTCGCGCCTACCGCGAGGAGTTCGGCGAGGAGGCGCTCGCGGAGTTCCTCGCGGCCGCGGAGGAGGGGCCCGAGGGCGGGGGGGGGCGTCGGCAGACCCGACGCGCTGCTGGCCGTCGGCGCGGGCTCGGTCGAGGACGAGGAGCCCCCTCCGCTGGCTGCGGGCCGCGGCCTCGCCCCAGGGTCAGCTTCAGCAGCGGTGCCCTTGCTGGGCAGGGAGGCCCCGCTGCGGCGGCCCACGAGGGCGAGCGCCCTGGCCAAGGCCCGCGCCAGTGGGCCACCTCCAGCGACCGCCGCGGCAAGGCCGACCGCCGCGCCGCTGCTCGCGAGCGGGGGCGCTGCTGCTACTCGGGTCGCCTTTGCTCCCCGCGCGGCGGCGAGGCCCGCCTCCACCGCGGCGCTCGGTTTCGGCGCGCCGCCGACTCCGCAGTCTTAGCCCCTGGGCTATAGGCGGGCCGAGGCGCCAGGCAACTCGCGGGCGGCCTGGCAGGCCGTCTTCGGGCGTCACGGGGCGCCTCCTGGTCCAGAGCTGCGTGGGCATCGCGCCCTCGGGGCCTTTCCCCGGGACAGGGGGCGAACTGCGGCGCCGAGGGCGAGGGCGATGTGACCGCTGGCGGCGCCGACATGAAGCGTTGCGCGGCGGCCCTGATGGGCGCGGCCCGCGCCGTCAGCCAGCGCGGGGACGAAGGCGGCACAGGTGGCGGCGACGACCTCATGGGCCTGGGAGGCGGCAGCATCGGGGCTGGCGCCCGCGGCACGGCCCATCGCGAGGCGCTGGTCGCCGCGAGACGGCCCGCCCCAGGCAGCTTCTCCAGATCCGTGATGGAGGCCATGGCCGCACAGAGCCGCTCCTCACGGACGCCGCGCGGGGCGACGCTCGAGCCCCCCGACCCGCGCCTCTGGCTCGAGCGGACAGGAGGGTGGTCCGAGTTCACACCCGGCAGCCCCAACACGGTGCGCGATCTCGCCCTGATCACGTGGCAGGTAGCGGACATCGTCGACCGACTGTAGATGGACCAGTATGCCGAGGCCGCGGACTTTGCTCCGCCCCTGACGGTCGGGCTGGGCCAGGCCAGGATCGACGGCGGCCGGCTCGGTTTGGCGTGGTTGTACCAGTTTGAGCGCGACCCGCCCGCCTCGCTCTGCGCGAGGGGCGGGCAGTCTGCGGCGGGGGCGCGCCAGTTCAGCCTGCTGGCCAACCCGCGCTGGTCCACGGTGAATCTCGCCATCCTTCGGGAGCTGGATTTGCCGGAGACGCGGCGGGGCGAGCTCCAGAGGCCTCAGGGGCGGACGCCAGTGCCCAGGGGCCGCAGTGCGTTCGAGGGGCAGCAGCCCGCAGGCGCCGGCGTGATCGGCCCCGGAGGCGGGGGCGACGAGGCCGCGCCCAAGGCGCGGCAGCGCAGGAGGCCGAAGGCGGCGCAGCCAGCCGCGGGCCCTCAGGCCTAGAGAAGGACCCCGGAGTAGCCCCTGGCGGGCGGCTCCTCTGGCCTGGACTCGCTGACCCCCGCCACGGCGCTCAATGCCGTGACGAGGTGGTCGCTCCGCTCTCGCGGAGCGGGTCTCCACTCCGCCGTTTGAGGGCCCTGGGGGCGACGTTCTCGTCGTGCGTCGGGGCCGCCGTCTGTGCTGCCGCGCAGCCTCGGGGGCGGCAGCTTGCTGAGGCACCGCGCGCTGGCCCAGTCTTTCCATTGCTTTCCCCTCCTGGTGACGGGCCGCGAGGGGCGGCTCGCAAGGGGGGCGGCAGCGTTGACTTCGACGCAAAGGTTGAGCAGCTGCTCGTCGTCGTCGTCGTCGTCTGTGCAGTGAACTACGTGTATGAGGGGTGGCCTTCTCGGTCCCGCGATCTATCCTTTCTTCGATTGCCCGCGCCCCAAGCGCAAAAAGCGCGCCTGGATCGGTCACGCTTGATATGTTGGAGCGAGCTGGCGCCGTGATGGAATTTACCCCTACCCACTTTTCTCTGGTCGCAAAGCCAATTCTACTTCACTTCCCCTGAGCGATGCCACCAGAGCCTGTCAGGAGACCGGGAACTTTACTGCAAGTTTTGGGGGCGCACAAAGGCCGGGCATGTTATTGCAAGTTATTGGGCAATCGGATGTCAGCGACCGCTACGCACGTGCATGTTCGGAACACCTCAGAGCAGTTGACCCCTGCGGGCTTCGGGGCCGCCGACGTGCCCATCCCGTTCCCGGAGCGTCTGCCCCGCTCTGTCCTGACCGACTTATTCTGGAGGCCCGGTTGCGCGTTGGCACATTGGGGACTTCTCGGGGCCTCCGCTGCCCCTGACCTTCGACGAGCCGGGGGTCCTACGTACTAGCCCGGTCGACCCGGCATCGCACCGCTGGGGGGGCGCCAGCAAACTCCCCAGGGCCCAGCAGGTGGCCTTCTTCCAGAAGCTGCACACGGCGGGGCTCCTCGGGTTCACGGAGCGCCCTGTTGCGGTCCATGAGCAATGTAATCCGTTTAACGCGTGGAACATCGCCTCGCGGGACCGGTCGATCATCGACCAGAGGCGGGCCGAGGGCCAGGAGGCGAAGATCGCGAGGGGGGGCCCGCGACGCATCTTGCTGCTGGAGTTCGTCTCTGCGAACACAGCGTCGCCCGCGGCACGGAGTGCCTCCGTGGCTCTTCGTCGGATCGCCGTGATATGTTCGATCAGGAGCTTGTCGCGGCCCAGCGCGCCGCCGCGACGAACGCTCTGGGGCCCGCTATGCGTGCGGGCCAGCTGTGTAGATCCCTTGGTGTCGATCCTGAGCGTCTTCTTCCTGCTGCTGACTGCGGTCGCCTGGGTCCTGCAGGTCGCTGCGTTCTTCAGGGTGACCGGTTTCTTCTAGGTGATTGCGTTTCTCTTCATGGCGCCCCTCCGAAAATTTGCCCTTAGAGTCCTGCGCGGCACCCCTGCGACTACCGAATAGGGGGCCACACTACCGTCGTCGTCACGCAGAGCGATCACCTCAACCTCCTCCGCGGGCATGGCCTACTTGCGCCTGAGAACTTCATCGACGGGAGGGCCCCCGTCCCGCGCGGCGACGTGGTCGAGGGCCTGTGCATTGATGGCTATATTGTTATTGGGCGTCATCCTTATCCCCGCGGAGAGCGTCGTCGCGATCTGAACCTCCTTCGACCGTGCTGGGCGCTGGGCTTGCGCCGATTCCTCTTTGTCGGGCAGCCCGTCCAAGGAGGTCAGAGACGCCGATCGCTTCGTGGTCGTCGGGGCTGAGGTAGACTCCTCGGTGAAGATGGTTGATCGTGGGTGCGCCCCTGTTGGTGCGCCGATCTCCCGTGTACGTCCCCTGGCTCAGCTCTGCTTACGCGCCGCTCAACTCCTTCGAGCCCCTGTGGCGCTGGTAGATTCGCTGGTAGGTTCCTTGGGGGCAGTTATTGCTTACCGCCGTCCGTCGTTCGTCTGCATCAACCAATATCAACCACGCGTGCGGCTTCGCTGCGCAGGATCGCGACGGCGATCATCTATTGCCCCGCGCCGTCAAGGATGAGCTGGCCTGGGCGTCCGTCCTTTCGGTCGCTGCGGAGACGGACCTCGCTGTCCCCTTCAGCGACGTCGTCTACGCCACCGACGCTACGCCGTCTTTCGGAGCTACTTGTATGTTGGGGGGATGACGCCTGCGATGTCGTCGGCCCTCTGGCGTTGTGGTGAGCGCCGGGGTGGGTACTCTCGGCTCGACAGTCGTGCTCGTGGAGTCCTGCGTGGTGATGGCGCTCTGCCTCCCTGCATGGAGAGCGCGCGGTGCGTTGAGGCGGACGTTCCGACTTATGTCGGCCACGGCATCGCCATGGTCTTCGACTTCATCGAGTTTGCCGGTGGCTCTGGTGTCCTCAGCCGATACCCCGCCTCCCACGGTGTTTTGGTTGGCCATGTGATTGACATCTCATACTCTAGGGACTATGACTTCTGACCGCGCCGGCTGATAGAGTGGCTGGTGTGGATGCTGTGCGAAGGCCGCATCCTCACCTTCGCTGCAGAGCCTCCCTGTGCAACGTTCTCGCCGGCCGCGCATCCCGCTGTCCGTTCTTATCGCCAGCCGGCTTGCTTCGATCCCTCCGACGCCAAGACGCGCCTTGGCAACCTTTTGGCCTTCCGTTGTCTGCTGCTCATGCTTGTCGCGTGGGAGCTCCTGGATGGCTGGAACAGCCCCGCTTGTCGAAGATGGCGTGGCTGCGAGAGTGGTCTCGCCTTCTGTTGCTCGGTGCGGTCGAGACCTGGTTCGCATCGCGTGCCTACCACGACGCCGCGCTCGACGGCGACGTCGTCCACCGGAAGGAGTTCCGCTGGCTGGCTGTTGGTTTTCCCGAGTTCGTTGATGCGGTGGCGCCCTGTCCTAATACACGGCACTATCGTGCACGCGTGCATGCAGTTATCGAGGGCTCAGCTACTAAGTACACAGCTACATACACGCGTGGGGTCGTCGTGGCGTTGGGCTCTCGGCACTTAGAGGCTATCCGACGTCGACGGGATGTAGGCAACAGCATGCGGCCCCCAGTGGGCTCGGAGCGGCTTGTCATCATCGAGCTGCTGATGTCTGGGTCTTGGAAGGGACTCAGGAGGTGGGCTTGGAGGTCCCCGGGGCACATGCACCTTCTGGAGTCCGACGTCGTCATGAACCTTCTAGAGGGTCTCATTCGAGATGGGGGTTTTCGGAGGCTTGCAGCTTTCATTGATTCCAGAGTTACATTGTGTTCTCAGGCTAACGGGAAATCTTCGAGCAGAGCGCCGATTTGGCCTCTGGAGAAGTCCTGCGTCCTCCAGATCGCGGGCCCCCTTCTATCCTGCCTATTCCTTCGCTCCGTCGCGGCTCAACGTGGCGGGCGACCCGACGCGACGCCGCGCAGTCCGCGCGGCGCGCCGCCAGCCGCCTGACTGGCTGGCGGACGCGGACCTGCTGGAGTGGCTGCTGACGCGGCTGCCCACCTCGGGAGCCCGCGCCGCGTGGCTGCGGCTCGCCTGCTTGCTGCTGGGGAGCGGCGGGCCTCAGGCCCTCCGTGCTGCGCTCGGCGAGGGGCGGCGCCTTGCACCCGCCCCCGCCCTCCGCGGCTCGCCGGGTCAGGGCTCGGGCGGGGGCTGGTGGGCAGCGTCTGGTCAGATACGAGTGCCCGTGATGTCGGAGAAGAGTGAATTCGCCCCAATGCTTCATCGCGCAAGGCTTTTGCATCATTGACGCCTGTGCGTTGTGAAGCTGACGAGGCACTAATTGCGGCCGCGCTCGCAAGACAGAGGCTTCTGTCTTGATTTGGGTGTCAGAGTGCCGTGATATAACTGGAAGCCGTGCTGGTGTCCTTGTCAAGGCCTCCGGAGTCACCTGGGCATGGCATCTTTGTGTGCGCGCAACACGTTTTGCACCTTGCTATCGCTTTCGAGCCATGCTACATTTTGGGAGGTCCCGGCTTGCTAACTATGATCCTGAGTTTGTGGACCGACGCGCGGTGCCCTTTCCCGCAGGGCGTCCGATTCGCGCGGCCACACGCCGCTCCAGGGAGAAACTGTTCAGTGAATTCGACCATTGGCTTCTGAAAGTTGTTGGCCACCCTTGCGTTGCGAGCCTGCTTGAGCAGGCGACTGGAACCCCCCGTATCATCAATGGCGTTATGGTTGAGTTCGGGCAGTACCTTGGGCGGATGGAGGCCCCGTGCGGCAAGTATGCCGACGCTGTGAATGCAGTGGCCTCAAAGGCGCCATAGCTCAGGAAGTTGCTCGGCGCTGCGTGGGACCTCGGGCGCCAGTGGGTCGCGCTCGAGCCAGGGAGCCGCCGCGTTGCCATGCCGCTGGTGGTCCTGAAGGTCCTGACGGGTCTGTGCCTTCTGTGGGGATGGCCTCGGGTCGCCGTGCTGCTCGCTGCGGGATTCGCCGGCATCGTGCGGGCCGCCCAGCTCTTCCTCGACGCTGGTGATCCGCAGCTTGTTCAGGGTAGAGGGCGATGGATGTCTCAGAAGGTGATGCTCATTTACCTGCAGGAGCGTGTCTCGACTACATACATGTCGGAACTTCCAGCTGCGACCAGGGATGGGATTTCTCAGATGGCCTCCCAGGTCTGGTGGATGTGGCCCCAAGCAGTGGCCTGGCTTCGTGAGGGGGCCCCGGCTTCGTCTTGGCCTTCCATGTGGTGTTCCATGAGACCCCCGTCGTGATCTTCTCGTTCATCCAGCTGGGCTTCCCTTGGGTGTTTGCTCATCGTTTCAAAGTTTCTCTTCCTGGTCGTCTCGGATCTGAGGCCGAGGCAGCGGTGCTGCGGAGTTCGGGGTGATGGGGTACTGAGCCTCCAGAGAGGTTAGGACCTCTCTGGCCTGCCCGCATCGTCCTCCTTTCGTGCGCGCAGGCCTGCATCAGACGCACAGCGGAACCTTTGGATATCTCTCCGGTTGCAGCACAGCGGAATTAGAGGAGGCGAATTCGGGAATAGAAGGGTTGAGGCTTTGGTGAATAAAGCTAAAGCCAATCTCCCGTATTTTCCGTAGTCCTTTCTCTCCCCCGTGACCAGCCTTCGCCGGGCGCTGACTCTGCTGGGCCCTTTGAGCCTCCAGAGAGGCTAGGACTGACTCTCTGGCTTGCCCGCATCGTCCCCCTTTCGTGCGCGCAGGCCTGCATCAGACGCACAGCAGAACCTTTAGATACCTCTCCGAGTGCAGCACAGCAGAAATAGAGGAGGCGAATTCGGGAATAGAAGGGCCGAGGCTTTATTATGAATCAGTTCCCCAATCAGAGCTTGCCTCTGTAGGGGTTCTAGCGGATTTAAGGGTCGGTGAGGTGTGCCGCCGATTCGGTGGCCGGGCCCGGGTGCCCAAGTGCCCGGGTGCCCAGGTGCCCGGGTTCGCCGCCGATTCGGTGGCTGGGCCCCGATGCCCGGGTGCCCGGGTGCCCGGTTGCCGGGTTCGCCGCCGATTCGGTGGCCGGGCCCGGGTGCCCGGATGCCCGGGTGCCCGGGTGCCAGGGTGACGGGTGCCCGGTGCCCGGGTGGGTGCCCGGGTGCCCGGGTGCCGGGTGCCCCGTGCCCTGTAGTCCTATAGCCTTATAGTCATGTATATATATATATATAGATATCGCCTTATAGCCCTACAGCCCTATAGCCCTATAGCCCATATAGCCATACAGCCATATAGCCCATATAGCGCCCAAGAGCCCACATAGCCCTGTAGCCCTATAGCCCTACAACCCTACAAATATTATGA